TGTTGGAAGAGAGCATTCCTTCTGGGGCAAACTACTCCACCATGATGAATGAGGATTCCTCCTTCACTGTCATATAAATTGCACTGGAGGGAGGGGTCCACCAAGGCAGAACGGGCCTCTCAGCACCCCAGGTCCTCAGCAGATGGTTAGCACTGGCCCACCCACAGGGATGACCAGATCAGGACGGTCCACAGTGGATGGGGTAGATCAGCCCACTGCCAACCAGAAGACATTGTCTCTCAGGACTGTGTCTTGAAACGTGCACTTCGCTGAGTGGTCCTAGCACTCTTCGTCTTTTGAAACTTTTGATTCATTTTCTTTGCATAAATTTTTCTGTTGGTAAATGCATATGGCTATAGCAGAGATGCAGAGCAAAATAAATATCACAACTGCTATCACACCTGGGGTAGGGGAGAAGACAGAAGAACACCAAGTCAGAATATAAATGGTGATTTTTGCCTTAATTGGGGGCTTTGTTAACATCACTGCCTTATAAGGTAGGTTACAACAAACCAACCATCTACTATAACATAAGTTGGGACCATCAAGCCTAGGAATTTTAAGGTCCAGTGGTATTATAACATTTGGTATGTCTGAGTTTCCATGACTTTTGGATATAGTAGGGGTAGTCCTTTTCCCTAAAGGCCTGTGATTGAAATTCAGCTTTTGTTCTTAAAAACAGAAACAGGACTTGGGAAGCTGGGGCAGGAAGATCACAAGTTCAAAACCAGTCTCAGCAAATTAGTGAGGCCCTAAGCAACTTCGAGAGACCCTGTCTCTAAATAAAAAATTTAAAAGGCTGGAGATGCTGCTTAGTGATTAAGTACCCCTGGGTTCAATCCTTGGTTCCAAAACAAACAAACAGACAACAAAAACAAATATACACAAGGCTCTGAGACGAAGTTTTAAATTATCTTAAAAGTATAGGGGCTGGGTTGTTGCTCAGTGATAGAGTGCTTGCCTTGCATGTGTGAGACCCTGGGTTCACACCTCAGCACTAAATAAAATAAGTGAATAAAATAAAGCTAAAAAAAAAGGTTACTACTACTAAAAAAAAAGTATAGTATGTTTAGTACCATCCTAGAATAAATGTTATTTTTAACTAAGTAGATACATTTTCATTAAATTGTTTTATATCTTTGTAAATTTGTTTTGATGATAGAGATCAAATCCAGGGCCAGCACCCTACCACTGAGCTATCTCCCCAACTCCAAAATACTTTAATGACGACATAATTTTGAAATGCAGTAGTGTAACATATATGTGATCAATCCCTGTCACCAAAAATATTGCAGGGATATTTATTAAGTTTATTTTTGTGGAATGTGGACTATTTGAAGGAACCAGGTGTAAATGTTCTAAAATATTAGAACCATTAAACCATTTGCTATGCCATGGTTCTCAACCCAAAATCATGCTGAATCAGAATACCTGAGGGGAAGACCTGGTGCCTCCTTCTAGTTTAAGGCTGTAATTCAGATCTAGAGTGCTAAAGCATCCCCAAGAAAGCTAGCTGTACAGAAGTCATATTCCTGAAGAATGAAAGTCAAATCTATGCTACACCAAAAAACTATGCATAAAGCCATGCTTGGACTGTCCACATTGTAAGTGTATGACAAAAGGTATCAATTTGTATCTCCAGCTGGTGACTGTTAGAATATGAAGACTATGTCTGTGAAGAGTCTTTGTGAATATTAAATGAAATAAAGTGTATAAAA